TAAGTAAACAAAAATTGATTAAGTGTGTCATAATAAAGTGACTCAAGTAATTAATTTTCATTGAATTGAAGATTCAATTAGATAAAAATGAATGTTGGAGGGATTAGAACAATAACATCTTAGTCATGTATCTCATATTTTAGGGTCGGCTACATAAAAAATCAAATAAGAAACTTAAGTTGTAGTTTGAATGTTTTTACGTTATTTATTTTTATCAATAATAATCTTTTTATCTAATTTTTTTAATCATGATATTATTTTTTATTATTTGTATCAATATTTTTCATAATTTACCTTTAGATATTTTGATTTTTTTTAGATTTAAAAATTTAATTTTTCTAACCCATACACAATTAGGCTTACATTTCACATATCTAAATTATGGCAAATGATTTTTTTTTTATTTTCTCTTCAATTTGGACTATTTTTAATTTATTTTTAATCTTTTTATTTTTTATTTATATGATAATTAAATGATAAGGATTTAGATAATAATTTAACTTTAGTTTCAAATGTTTTTATATTTAAGCCGATATTAAACTAATAGATTAGGTTGCAGCATTACAGGGCCCACATCTTATCAAACACCTAAATTTTCGAAGTCAAGCCAATCTGGTTATCTAAATTCTGCTTTGCCAGCTATAAAAACGCCTATTTCTTCAAAACCTTTATATTTTTCAGCCTTCTAAAAAAAAATTCAGCATAAAATTCATAACACTAAAACAAATTAACCCACTTTGACTGGTCCTGTCTCAAATGGATCTCTGTGTCTTTTCCCTGTACCATTGTCTCCAAGAGGAAGAAGAAAACAAAAATAATAACCCTTCAATGGCAGTGTTGGAAGCATAGCCCTAAAAGAGGTGTCCCGCTTGTCTATATAATACTCTTTTAAAGGGGTAAATTGTATGGAGGGGACATGCCTCTTTGAATTTGTTTAGGAAAAACATGATGTCAGTGGGAATGAGGTTTTATTTTATCCCTAGTTCCTTGTGATCCTAAACGAAAACCTCTCCTTCCATTTTATGGAGGGGAAAGTGACACACAACTTTACTCCTCTTTGCTCCCACTACTCAATTTTCTTCTCTTTGTATTTCTGTTGGTTTTTTCTCATTGTTTTTAGGGTAGTGGTCAAGACAAGGTTGCCAATCTCTTTACCCTGATTAAGGCCAGAAATTGCAGGCTCCAATTCCACATTTTGCCCCATTTTCCATTTTTATATAATAAGATCTTTAAAGTTGAGTAGTACTAGAAGATTTTAACTTTCTTTCCAATTAGGATTATTTATTAAAGAAAGAAAAAGAAACACAGCAAAAATTTGGGAAATGAGGAACAAGGAGCCGCAATTTGCTAGGCCAGCTTATCTTGCTTTATTTGCTGGCTTTAGAAAAGCAACCAGAAACATCAACTTACAAGGAAAAATGCATGATGAAAAATGAAACAAACAAAAAGATCATGAAAATGCTCATAGCAAAGATTGCGTATTTCTTCTGCTTGGCTGGTGGGGTTGATTAAACATTGATTATAATGAGGACAAATTGATTTGGTAGATAAATTTCAAACAATACAAAAAAAAAAAGTCATAAAAACATGGAGATTGCTGTTCAAAACTCAAAGCATAAGTGCCTCCATGCACACACACACACGCAAACGAAATTCTTGTTGAAGTTATGAATCTACTAAAAGGACTAAAAATAATTCTAGCTTATAAAAAGACTTGAACCCTAGCTAAATAATCTAAGGCTGTTTTCCTTGGAGCCTGGGTCTCAGTTTTACAAATAAAAGATTCATTCATCAGAAGGATAGGATCATAACGAAGCAGCTTTTGCTTGATTTTAGATTTGGGGTATGGAGTTTTCACATCATATATAAAATGAATAAAAAACATAGATCAGTTAACTTTCAAGATCTTTTCAATATAATATATGTTTTATTTTCGATTTTTCATTGGAATGCTTAAATCAGTTTACTGATCTTTAATGACCTTTCAAACTGTAAAGCTGTGGACTTTTTGTTTGTAGTAATTATTTCATGCAACTTTGGTCAGCTTTTAACCATTATGATAATGATATATCATACTGACTTTAGCCTAAAAAATCATAGCTTCCTCAATCTTCTTCTACCCAAATAGAGCTCCCGTTCAACCCACCATTTAATTTGTTTATGCATTATGTTTGCTTGAGGAAGGATAAACAAATCCCAAACACTTCAATCCTGCCTAGGGTTTGCATGAAAAATAATACTTAGTTAAGTTTTATTAGAACATTTTTGGTGTTTTCTTAGAACAAAAGCAATAGAATTAATTATTTTTCATTCAAAACAGGTCTTTATTGCTAATTTAAATTACTATTATTATAAATTAAAGTTTAACTTAGATTATGCAATACCTTTAAAATATAATATCCCATTAATATTTAAATTTTAATTCGTATAATTTTTTTAATTTTAAAATTATAATAATTTTTGTATTAAAAACTTACTACTATTACAATACAATAAATAAAGTTAAATAAAAATAACTACATTTTGGGTCATCGTTATGACAAAAAAACTTTTTAATTAACCAATTATTGCATGTGACTAAAAAGTGTTTGATGGCTTTAGTAGATAATAGGGCATGATGAGATGGGTGTGTGTCGTGGGGTGGCCACAAGAAAAAAAGCATGAAAATACAAGTGATTAAGATTGGCACCAGACATTCAGGTTAATAAACTCTTAAAATAAAAGTGCTAACCAGAGGAAGAGACAAGCTTTGCTTTTGGCTGGGATTTTTGCTTGTTGGTTGAATCTAAACTTTTGCCTTTGCCCATTTTATTTCTTCCCCTTTGCAAAATGGTGTGGCTCAGCATACTATCTGTTCCCTCCAAAATTAAGATTAAACTTTTCTTGTTGTATGCGTCTCTAACAACAAAAAGGGTTATGAATTCCACAGGTCTTAAATAGAGTTGAGTTGGAAAGATTTCTTATCAGTTTCTTTGTGTTTTTATTTTCTTCTTGTTTGGAAACTTGGGAAAATTGCAATGGTAGACAATACACATGGGGATCAACTATCAAAGATGGATAAGACCTTAACACATGGCATGCAATCACTTTATATAGATCTTTTTCTAGCAATTTGCAGTGAGTAAGAAGATTTGGACATTTTTAATTGACGATCAAAAAGAAAGATATGTCAAGGCCCTAGGAGTTCTCCAGACTCCACTGATGATATATCTCACGACTTTAAACATGTAACATGATACGATAACATAATAAAATAATAATAAAATAATAAATACAAAAATAATAAAAATTATAAATAAATTTAAAAAATAAAAAAAAATTATATTTTCATATTAAAAAAAAATTTGATACATAATTTTTATAAAAGTATAATATAAATATATTAATTTTTAATATTTTATACTATATAAATATATGAATTATTAAATTTAACCGAGGTACATCGTACAAAGAACTCAAATTAGGTGGATTTGGGCCGGTTAGTTTGAGAACAAAATTAATTCAGGGTGGCTTTTTCTTATTAGGCTTAAGGGGCCTAAAAGAAAGAGCACCTCGAAGAAAGAGCCTGGGTTTATTTATGCTTGGGCTAAAGTGTGGCAATCTGATCTACCTCTACGGGGAAGAAGAATCAAGATATCTTTGAAAATGTCTTTATCGACCCTTGTGGCTAAAGATCAAAGTGTTCGGACGTGAGAAAGCCTTGATCAATGAGCCTACATCCGAAATTTATTATCAGCGAGCATGAGAGTATGGACGGGGACAAGTGTCTGGCCTACAAATTTAATTAGTTGGGGTTGGAAATAGATGGAGACAAGACAACTAGCTTAGGATACCTAACTGCCTTCTTGTTTCCCTTCTCTTCACTACTATCAGCTTCGGATTTGCTTTGTTGATTCATGAACTTGTACTTTTGAGGTTCACCGCATGCCTTCAAACCCATGTGAATGTGAATCACAGAATTGTGATCCATTAAAACTTTGGTCGGGAGGTGCGCATTGTCTAAATCTCTACAAAGTACTAGACCTTTGGCACCATTTCCTTTAAGATTTTCCAAGTTACCCAAAGAATAAGAGAGGAATGGTTGGAAAATAAGATGAAGATAGACCACGATCACCACTGCTTAACAATGATTAATAATCCTTTTTTTCCCCCTTCTTTAGGTAAATTAAGGACAATTTAATTTTCTTATTTTTATATTTTTTATATAAAAGATATCTAAGTTTAACAATAAAAGAAAGAATTATAAATCTTGAATTTTATATTTATTAAATATTTTTTTTACACAAAAAAAAAACCAAAGCCTACAAGAAAATTTGTAAATTTTAAGAATCAAATCTAAGTTTTACAAAAGTTTATTTTTTAAAAAAGTGAATAAATTATTTAAGTTAAGCTCAAATTTAAAATTTATTAAATATTAATTTATAAAAATAAAATATAAATTAACTAAATTAAATTCAGCATATTATGCGTTTCTAACCAATCAAACTATAAATGGGGTTTTAAAAACAAAAGGATAATGGGGTCTAGGCCGAGCCGACCGGGTGTAGGGTCCAACTAGAAAAGCTGATTCAGCAAGAGATCCGGGCATATTCTTATGATTTATCCATCCACTGTGAACATCCCTACGACCCAACTCATTGTCCACGTCCCATGATCATCATACTACTAGCCGTCCGTTGCACATACATATCCGCCATTATCCAAAAAACAGATACAGATCAAAATGTTCTGTCGTCTCACCGTAACCAACTAGGATTTGTTAACCTAAACCAACCAGAACCAATAAAACTAATCCACGTTTATTCATACCTATGAGTAACTACATGGTAGGCATTCCAAAAGGTATATGTTAATCTTTCAACATCATTAACTAAAAAAAAAAAGAAAAAAACCTTTGGCTGAAACTGTAGAAGAGTAAGTTGAAGAGTTCTATTTGATCAAGAAAAAAGCTTTCTTTTTGGGTTCATCTTCACAAGGTTTGCCTTCTGGGTTTTCCTTTATATTTTATCAGTTCATGCATATTTCTTTTTTTTTTTTGTGTGTGGGGTAATTAGCAAGGATAGTTTTTGTTGAAATTCGAGGCTTTTTGTTATGTGATCATTTTTCTTCCATAAATTGTGCGAAGGAAACAACTTTGTGATCGGTATAAGACCTAGGTGGTTTCGGATTGCTTATATTTGTTTTGTTGACTTTACTCTGCTTCTGTATCTTTGATTTAGAATTGTTTTGTGCATGAATTGATGGCCATAATATCTCTGTTTTGCACCATCATGGCTTTTTAAGACTTTGGAAATTCATCAAGAAAACAAGGAATTTTTCTTGAAAAGCAAGTGTTTTGACTTAATTTTTGGTTGGTGATTTCAGGAGGAATGGCAAAGAGTTACTTCAAGCAAGAGCACGATCTTGGTATGTACTGGAATCCTTTATATTGTTATTAATTTGATTAAAAGAACTTTTTTTTTTAATTTAAGGTCTACGTTATGTATTGTAAATCAATGTGAATTATGGTATGTATGTGGAAATGAATTATTTATATTTTTGAAGTTTATGCGTTTTTGTTTTGGTTCTGGCTTCAGAGAAGAGAAGGGCAGAGGCTGCTAGGATTAGGCAGAAATACCCTGATAGAATCCCGGTAAGGATTGAATTTTACTTTCAATCTTAATTTATCTGTTGTTAATTTTCATCTAATATATGCTACTTTTGCGATAGGCCTGTATATTGGTGATTGTAAGTGTTAAATATATCCTTTGCCTGTTTTTCCAAGCTTGACTTGTTTATTATCCTCTTTTATGTTTAAGGTGATTGTGGAGAAGGCAGAGAGAAGTGATATACCAACCATAGACAAGAAAAAGTAAGCTTCATTGATATCTTATTCATGGCTTTAGATTATCCTGATTCAATTCCTTATTCTGGTAAAACAGCATCTTGTTTTAGTTTGTTTGAATTCTCTATCTCTGTCGTATTGCATCTACACCTGGCAGAATAGTTGTGATGATAGACATCCCTAGCTAGAAAGAAGCATTTTCAAGGATTAGGGGTGTTATGATGGTGTGAGACAGTTTTGATAACGTTAATAATGCTGATGATCCTACCATTTCTTTGTTGTATTATGATTCCCATGTAAATGTAGAAGCTATTCCCTGTATTTTAATGCCAGTTGGTTGCCTTGGACATATGCAATCATTCAAATTGCTTATTTATTTACACGTATTGGTGTTTTCCATCTGCAATCATCGTTTCCTTTTTGAAAGCTTTGTCCTGGAGTAAATCATGGCTGGTTCATAGTAATTGGTTGTAGTCTTTGATAGAGAGCGTGTACACATAATATGATTCCGAAATTTACAGGTACCTTGTCCCAGCTGACTTGACTGTTGGACAGTTGGTATATGTCATCCGTAAAAGGATCAAACTGAGTGCAGAAAAAGCAATATTCATATTTGTGGACAGTGTACTCCCATCAACTGGTAATGCCTTGCAAACCAGCTCGATGCATTACCTTTGCTTTCAAAGAGGGATAACTCTTTCCTTGGTTTTGCAGGTACCATTATGTCTGCCATATACGAGGAGAAGAAGGATGAAGATGGATTTCTTTATGTTACTTACAGTGGGGAGAACACATTTGGGGACATATTTCTCGGTAGCCATTCATAGATTCATTCGGACGTCGCTTTTATCTTTTCCTCGTATCACCGTACCAATGTATTGTCTCTAGCATTACCATTTCCATTGGCTTGTGGTGGTAATTTCGTTATTGCTAGTATTATTTAATTACCTGAAAATGAAATGGTGTACAATTGAATATTGTATATAAATTTTAAGATTTCCCCCCAATGCTAAAGTACTTTGTTTTATCATTTATCACTCGAAATATATCTCTCGGTTGCACAAAGATGTTAGCCAACCCACCCGGAGGTTCGGGCGCTGTTTGCATTGCATCGTTTTCAATTATAATCCTTCTGGGCTAAATCCTCCCCATATTGGGCTCTGCTTTTCTCTTTAATAAAAGCTCTAGTTTGGGCTTGGTTAACAATGGTTAGGCTTAGGCGTTTTGCTTCAACATTGTTTGGGCTGGTTTTTAGCAATTCTTAAGCCCACCAAAAGCAAGCTGCCGGTGTTGCTTTTAACTTGGGCTGGCAAATTGGCTAAAGAAAAAGAAGATTTTCTCAGAAATTTTATAGTAGGTCAAATCATCTCTACCTCTGGTTAGGCTGACAGTTGAAAGTTGAAAGTTGAAAGTTGAAAAGAGCCCCAGGTTTTTGCATGTTCTTCCAAAATTTTCTTTTTCTTTTATTCTAGAGCAATCAGCAAGAACAGTTCTAAAAAGTTAGTCTGTTCCTTCATGGAATATGATGGTGTCGTAGAAATTGGAGGCAAATGAGAGTTCTATATTGCTGAAATTTGGAGAAGAGGGACTCTAATTTCCACACGTTTTGAGTTTTTCAATGTCTTAAAGGCAATTGCTCTTTATATTAGTCGTTTATAACTCAAATCAGGGGGCTTAGGCGCTGTTGTTTGAGCAGTCAACTTTCTTCCAATGTTGCTTAATGAAAAGTAAACTAATTACTATGGTAAGTAAAAATCAAAACCTAATTAAAATGATTCGTATAATTATTTTTAAAAAATAATATTTAATAAATATGAGATTTAAATATAAATATTTATAATTTCTTCTTTTATATCCAAATTATAATTCGGTTTTTAAATTTGGATTAATTTTATCACATATAAATAATAATATTAGTAAAATGAGAAATTAAAAAATCAAAATGGATTGGTAGGGGGCACCGTCTTAGGTTCGCATGGCAGCCCACGGATTGGAATTTGTCGCATGGATATATCGTACGACCAGGGCGCACCACGTGAAGTGACTTGCACCCAAACTAATGGAAAATTCAATCATTTTCATTCCAACCGACACGGAGAAGATCAAAATCCACTCGCAATTGAAACGCGTGCAATTATCCATCAAATTGCTCCGCCATTGATTATGCCCCATCCAATGAAAATAAGAACCGGAATTGTGGCCAATTAAAATTTTGTTTGGTTGATATATTATTTATTTTTTGTTTTAAATGAAGAAACAATATTTTTAAATTTAAAAAATTATATTCAAAATATATATGCTTTCTGCTACAAATTAAATGCTTGTATTTCTTTTAATGCATAAATGTCTTTTTAATTTATTTAAAAATTATATTTACTTTTATTTTTTTAGCATCTACAACTTTTTTATTATATTTTTCTAATTTTTAATTTTTTTTCTTAATTATCTAGCTATCTTGCTATGAACCTCAGAGAAGAATGGCGCGTGGCCCTTGGACTGTTAAAACGTATAAAGCCTGCCACGGAAAAGGAAAGTGCTGGTTCCGTCTTCCAGAAAGAATATTGACTATTGAAAAAACTGAAAACGGAATATCCCGCAACATCCTTCTTCTTCTCCACGCAACGGACAACCCTCTTTTCCTCTTTTAACTATAAATCCCTGAACGAGACAGTCGAACGAAATCCATAGGCAAATCAACTTAATTTTAAGTCCCATTCAGTTCAGGTTTTCTATTGTTACAATGCAAAAGAGTTCTTCAGCTTCTTCTTTGGGTCCAGGTGGTCTAGACCTGTCTCAATCCTTCTTCAAGCCCATCCAGAACACCGCCCCACCTTCCCCCACCAAGCGCCACACGAAGGTATCCGTCATTGGAGTCGGTAATGTTGGCATGGCAATCGCTCAAACCATCCTCACTCAGGACTTAGTCGACGAGCTTGCCCTCGTCGACGCCAAGGCTGACAAGCTTCATGGCGAAATGCTCGATCTGCAACACGCCGCGGCGTTCCTTCCACGCACCAAAATCAACGCTTCCGTTGATTACTCCGTGACTGCTGGATCTGATCTTTGTATCGTCACTGCTGGCGCCCGTCAGAACCCTGGCGAGTCTAGGCTGAATCTGCTGCAGAGGAACGTTGCTATGTTTTCGAACATTATACCTCCGCTAGCAAAGTACTCGCCAGATTCGATTTTATTGATTGTGTCGAATCCGGTAGATGTGCTAACTTACGTGTCTTGGAAACTATCGGGATTTCCATCAAATCGAGTCATCGGTTCGGGTACGAACTTGGATTCGTCGAGGTTTCGGTTCTTGATCGCTGATCATTTGGACGTCATTGCTCAAGATGTGCAGGTCAGTTTGATTTTTATTTTTAGTTGTTCCAAGAACACAATTAACTCTCATGTCTCTCCATTTCCTAAATGCTCGTAAAAAATTTGTAGGCCTACATAGTTGGTGAGCATGGAGACAGTTCGGTGGCACTGTGGTCTAGCATTAGTGTTGGTGGAGTGCCGGTGTTAAGCTTCCTGCAGAATCAGCATATTGCCTACGAAAAGGAGACCCTGGAGAACATTCACAAAGCAGTTATCGGCAGTGCATATGACGTGATTAATCTCAAGGGGTATACTTCTTGGGCAATTGGCTACTCGGTGGCTAACTTGGCTAGAAGCCTGCTTAGAGACCAGAGGAAAATCCACCCAGTTTCAGTCCTTGCAAAGGGGTTTTACGGCATTGATGGTGGCGATGTTTTCTTGAGCTTACCGGCACAGCTCGGCAGGGGTGGAGTCTTGGGCGTGACCAATATCCATTTGACGGATGAAGAGGAGCAAAGGCTTAGAGAATCGGCTAAGACTATTCTTGAAGTTCAAAGCCAGTTGGGGCTTTGAGGAACCAACACAAATTATATAATGGCCGTTAGTCGTTACTGCTGTCTTTGCACCTTTACAAGGCCTTTTCAACTTGAGACTTCAAGTGATCCTGTTTATTCTTCGGTTTCATATATTTATCGTAACACGCTTCTACGTGTTTTTTTTTTTTTGATGTTTGTTTTAATTTTCTTTACTTCTCTTTTGAAGGTGTACGTCTTTCATCATTGGGATTGTTTGTTGTTTGTCATTCATTAATAATTATTTTCCATTAATAATGTCTCTTTTTTTTTATGGAAGGTTTCTCACCTTTCTAATTTGTCAATGTTGTGATTCTTTGTATTTTATAATTTTATTACTTTATACAGTGAGAAATTTTCATCTAAGTAATTAAATGAAAGGGGAAAAAAATACAAATTGACTATAAGGCCGTAAGCAACTATTAAAAAAAAAAATAAAACAGCCAAAAATATATAAAATGGGGTAACTGTTGTCCAACAAATTAATCAAATTTAGTGATCTTTTGTATTAAGCTCATTGGCCATAACGTTAACGTCATCTACGCCCATGGCATTGGTACGGAGAGCTATGCAAAGGCAAGCAGCAACTTGATGATCAGTTCTACCCAAACCACGAATGTTGCTGCAGCATTGGCTCCCTGGGTTGGAAAGTTGGGTTGCATTAAAGAACACCCGCCCAACCACAGTAGCACAGGCAGAAAAATTTACGGGGTTGCAGATGGTAGCTGAAACTGGCATTGGAGATGGAGGCGACTGAGAGCTGACCAAAGTAAAGAAGAGAAGGTTGAGGGAAAGAAGAAAGGCAATTGATGCTGAAGCCTTGGAAGCCATAGCTGGAAGAGAAGACCTAAGAGTTTGCTTATTGTATGGTATAATTTAGTGAAATGTGAGTGGTGATGCAAAAGATTGAAAATGCAAAGATATTTATAGAAGGGGAGATAAGACATTGGACCTGCTTGGGTTTAAAATTTTGAATGTAGTCATTGATGCATGTGGGCACGTTAATTTGGTAGTATTAGGGAGTGATGAATTCTTTTGCAACTTGCAAAGTTTGTAATATTCTTTTTTTTTAATAAACAAACAAAGTATTATTATATATTTATATTTGAACAATATTAGTGTAATTACATGAATGTTATTATCTTGATCATATCTCTTCACATGTGAGATTTTGAGGTTGACACACCAAAGAATTTTAGATACTTTCACTGTCTTTTTTTTTTTCTTGAGATAAAAATGAAAAAAATAAAAAAAAATATTTTGTTGTAGATTTAAAATAACAACTAGACATTTTCTTTTAATGGGAATAGTTTTTTATTTGGAAATTTATATAAGAGTTTATGCTGGCTATAGTTCTATCAATTTTCATTTAGTCAAAAGAAAAATCATTGGTACACAAATACGTAATAGATGAAAAAAGAGGCATAAGCACTGTGAACTATCCGCTTCAAATAGTTAAAAGACTGGAAAGTGATTATCTTGCTCTCTCACTCCACTCTATCTAGCCAAAGGAATTCCCTATCCGCACTTTCTATTTCTTGCAATGTACAATTACAATGCTTTCCCCAACATGACTGGAAAATTGGAAGATTCGGTGGAAATAAGCCCTCTGGCGGCTCTGTTCTGGCATATGCCTTATCCTTTATCCTTATACTCATTTACTGTCCTTCTCTCATCGATGCCATCTTATTCTATGTCATTGTCCGAAAGCCTAAACCTTTAAGGTATGAAGTGACTTTCCAAGGGTCAATTCCTTATTTGCAATTGTTAATCTATCCCCATCCCCAGCATTTCAAGGTGGGACCAGGATTCGATCCAATAACTTACTTTCTTAAGGGCGAGCTGATCGACATGCATGTGTTAAGCATATAGCTGAAGTAGCATGATTTGACCTTTCTCTTTCTCTTACTTAGATAGAAGAGAGAGTACGTAATACTTTCTACGCTGCTTTCTTTCTTCTCTTACGATTTTTCTCGTTAAGATGAACAGATCACTCCGTCATGCAGCCGTTATCTTATATAGACCAAATGAAAGAAAGGAAAGGTAAAGGAACTTATTCATATATACCAAGAAAATCTCATAGAAAGGCACTACATCAATTTCCTTGGCCTTCTGTATCTCTTAGCTGCGAAACCTCTTCCTCTCTTATTCATTATTCAAATAGTTTGGTTTGTGCTGTAAAAGATGTTGCTATTCAAAGAAGTGGCGAATCGTCTGTTTCAGGAAGACTCACTTAACACTTTCTTATTCAAACCGAACTGCTAGTGCTCTCAAAGAGGTGATCTTCTCTTCTAATAGAGAGAATGAATCTGTTCTTGGCTTCTGGGGTAAACGTGTCAAGGCTCACCCAGGCACGAACCGTGCAAGGCAGGATTAAGACGAGAATTGAAGATAGATCAAGTAGCCTTAGTGAAACAACAACCTGAATTCTCAGATCTGCGCTCCTGCCCCTAAGCATTGGTTGCGCAATTGGATTGGCGTCTTCCGATCTAAGTCTTCCTCAGAGCTTAGACACTGGAAGTCTAGTGCAAACAGTCGAGCCGCTTTCGAGTGAACTGAACTCTTGGAATGGCTGAAAGGGAAACTGTACAAGGCATTTTTCACTCGTTTACGGGACCAGTGTCAAAGGAAAGGATTGTTGCACTCCCTTGCTTGAATGAATCGACATTTGTGGATGGTTGTTCATTCGGGATTCTTCTATCTATATTTATAACTTCTGGATCCACTATTCCGGCTTTTAGCCTTTGGAACCAGTGGAACTCTAAAGTCACTTGCCCGTTCAAACTCTTCCGTACTGCTTCAAACTCTTCTGTCCATCCCATCTAATAAAACCCTTTTTTCAGTGAATCCGAGGACAGAGGCCTGACCAATCCAAATCGCTGACTTATGAATGGAACTAGATACGCGGGAAACTACAACTAAATTACGACCCCATTCTAAAGTGACAGCATGTGTTGAGGCAGACACCCAATTTGATGAGAAGATCACTCTCTTCCTTCTGTCAGCCGGTAGCAAAAAATTATATAGTGATTACTAAGACTAAAATGAAAGAAATAAAAAACAAATTGAATTGTGAGGAGAATGCCTAAAACAATATATATATATATATATATATATATATATTTAAGGAGGAAATTATTGTCCAACAAATCAAAATTTGTGATCTTTTATATGAAAGCTAGTTAATTGAGCTTAATTTGTACTCCATAAATGAAGCAATCATCTCTAAACTTCATTTCTTCGAGAAAGGACGAAGTTAGAACTTTCCTTTTGGTAATGAAAAGATGGGATAAATGGAGCTTTGATAAAAAAAATTTTAATAAAAATAAAAATTTTAAATTTAAATGAAATAATAATATATAAAAATGTATATTTTTTGCAAATAAAAAATAAACTCTATAATTAATATAATTAGTGTTGGATATATATATATATATATAATTAATGATGGAATAAGAAGAGAGAAGAATTTTGGGGTAGCGGCGGTGGCAATAAGAATCTCCAAAAATTGAGGAAAGAGAGAGAAAAATAATTATGGGAGAGGGGAGAGAGAAAGAAGAAAGAAATAGAAAGAAGAAAAAAATGAAAGTGTGGGTGTTTTGGGAACTATTTAGAGTGAAATTAAAATGATGTTTTTTTTATTAAAATAATAGTTAAGCCATCGAATCGAGCCATATATTCAAGCCAAGTTGATCAAGCCATTGCCTGTGGGTCTAAGTCGTTTGAGTCATTTTTAAACCTTTGATTGGTGTTGGATCAATGGCATTTTAGGTATTTTTACAATAAATTTTTTGATTTTTTTCTACTTAATTTTTTAATATATTTTTATTATTTAATTTATGATTTTTTGTTATTTTTATTTTATTTTTGTATAAATTTTTCATATAAAATAAATGGTAGCAGATATAAAATAGTTTTAATTTAATTAATTTAAAATAATTGCTAAACATAAACTTATTAAAATTTTAATAAACAAAGAATAAAGAAAAATATACAATAAATAATAATAATAATAATGAAAAATAAATAAAATATGATAAAAATAAAAATAAAATCATAAGTGGTGATCTAATAAAAAATTTTATACAAAGGAATTTTCTAAAATGTTCTAAAAAATGTTAGAAAATTTTTAGATTTTTCAAACAAAAATACTAATAACAATAAAGTCACAAGTGATGATTTTATTAAAAAAAATATTCACACAAAGAAAATTTCTAAAATAATTAAAAATATTTTAGAATTTTCCAAACAAAAATTATCATTAATAATAATAAGATCACAAGTGGTGATTCTTAAATTATTCTTTTCAAAATTTTCCCAAAAGTATTAGTAAAATTATTTGAAAATCTTTTTAATAAAAAATAATAAAATATAAAATGTTTAAATTGTCGAAATAAATAAAAATTTACAATAATAAAAGTCACGAGTTGTGACTTTATCAAAATTTCTTAAACAAAAAATTTTCTCAAAATAGTCTGAAAGGGTCGAAAATATTTTGAGAGTTCAACCAATAAATTTTACTTTAATAATAAAATAAACAATCAATAAATATTACTAAATAAATTAAAATTTTCATCAATAATAAAATTAAGAGAGAATTACCAATGGTGATTTTTCTCCATATTTTTTTAAAACTATACCAAAAGTGTTGGCATAAAAAGATTATGATTTACTTTAAAAAAATATTAAAATAAATTCAACAACGAAGTCTTTTAAATGAAATAGGTGATTTCTTTGAATATTATTGAGATGAGAAAATTTTAAATTATACTGAAAGTGTCAAAAATAACTTAAAAAATTTTTACAATAAAAAAATAAGAATGATAAAAGAAAGAGTAAAAGACTATTCAATAAGACCATTCTAGGATCATATAAGATTAATTTGTACTGTATTCGAATAGGAGCCGTAAGTGTGCTATAACCTTTCTTATATGTAATCGTACTCCCGAATCCAACCTTAAATTCATAGACAAAAAAAAGGACAGATGGTCAATCACACCTCAACAAAAAAAATTAGTGGCAACTCTTTGACCTTTATGTCTAGCAATCGAGTCCCTCAGCAAAAAATCGTTATGACAATCAATATATCAAATAATTTTTATTTTTAATTTAATTATTAAACTCAATCAATATGTAGAATTTTTTTCTTGGATTGATACAAAGATCTTGATTTTTAGTCTTAGCTTCTATTTATTCGTATTTAATGAAAATTTTCATGAACTTTAGTTAAAAAAAAAATCTATTTAATTATTTATATAAAACTTATGCATAAAGTCATATATATATATGTATATGTATATGTTAGCCTTTTACGCGAGATGGTAATCCAATAGAATAGTGAATTAGATATTTTCAAATTCTTTCAAAACAATGATTTTAAAATAATTGAATGTAAAATTAAAATTAGGATCACAATATAATGCACATGACAACAAATTGATGAACTTGAAGCAAATATAAACTATAATTAAAGTAAAAAGATAAAGATAAAGAAATCAAACACAATGATTTATAAATGTTTGATCATTTTTCACAAGACACCTACGTTATCTCTTCTTAGTTATCCACACCAAAGCTTCAATCTACTAATCTTGAATTGAAATTACAATCCTATCTTTTTTTTTCTAAAGCTTAAGATAGAAACTTTATACTCTTTACTTTTTAAGCTAAGTAACAATATCTTAATCCTATAAATTTAAGATAATACTTCACCTTTTGATTACAAAATCACTTAATAAAAATACAAACTTAAAACACTTTTCAAAGGCTAACTGTTTACTTAATGAAGTATAAAAAAATTTGATGAATGAATAACAACAATGATTTAGATACAAAAAATACAAAAATATAGACTTTAAAGTTTTAAAACTCTTGATGTCTTTGAGAGAATGAATATATGACTTGTTTAATCTTGCTATCTTGATTCATTAACCTCTTTGGTGTGTTTGAATAGCCAATATATAGAGGAATTGAAGAACTAGCCGTTGTGGATAGTTTGGAAGAAAAATTACCCATTGGAAGCATGAAAAACTAGCCACTTGAGTGATTCTGAAAAAACTTGATCGATCCCTTCCCTGAGGAGATTGATTGGTTCACGTTTTGCTGATCATTTTGCATTTGAAAAACACGACCTGATTGATCCCTTTATATAAGGGATCGATCCTTTCTTTAACCTAGAGCACAAAGATGCATTCTGGGTAAAAAATCAATCGATCCTTTCCTTAAGGGGATTGATTCTGTCAAAGTTGGATGGTTGTCTCTTGTTTTGTACTTTGCTCACTAATTTGATCATATCTTGAGTTATATAAATTCAAATAAAAAATTATTTGAAGATTTAGAAACTAGACTTAAAGGGCATCCTTAAGGCACTTGCACTTCCCTAAAAGGATTGATTGGTTCACGTTTTGCTGGTCATTTTGCACTTGAAAAATACGACCTGATCGATCCTTTTATGTAGGGGATCGATCTTGTCAATGGGGTGATCGATTTTTTTCTTTAACCTGGAGCACAATGATACATTCTGGGTAAAAAATCAATCGATCCCTTTTCTGAGGGAATTGATCCTATCAAAACTGGATGGTTGTCTCTCGTTTTGTACTATACTCACTAATTTAATCATATCTTGAGCTATATAAATTCAAATTAAAAATCATTTGAAGATTTAAAAACTAGACTCAAAGGACTTTCTATCCATATAAAATTCATCACCTAATTCATTGTATATGTAGCTTTTAGACAACTGTAAAATGTCTAGTAAAAATTTAAAATATTTTCTTAAAAAATTTGATCATATCTTGAGCTATATAAATCCAAATTAAAAACCATTTGAAGATTAAAAAACTAGACTTAAAGGACTTTCTATCCTTATAAAATTCATCACCTAATTCATTGTATATGTAATTTTTAGACAACTGTAAAATATTTAGTAAAAATTTAAAATATTTTTTTAAAAAATTTAGATTTTAATTTTGTTTGATCTATTAGAAAGTAGACTCAAAGAACTTTCCAACCATATAAAATTCAAATATGGTTGTGAACTTTCCAACCAAATCTATCTTTAAAGCTTTGTGAATTAATAAAAAAAATAAAATAAGTTCAATGTTGAAAAACTTTATTATTGTAAAATAACTTTCTTAAATTAATCTATTTTTTAAAACCAATATTATTAAAATTATATTAAATCCAAAATGAATAAGTTCACTTTAAAAATAATAATTAAACTTTCATTTAAGTTCAAATAAATAATCTTTAAAGATAGATTTAGTTTGAGAAATATGAAAACAAAGAAATATTTGTTTACACTATAAAAAATATATTATTTATTTAATACTAAAATATAAAACTTAAGAATATATACTAAATAAATCTTTTTTAAAATCTTAATAAAACTTATTTAACTTAATATTTTATTATTTCAAAATAAAGATCAATTCAAGACTAATAATATATAATAATCGATTAATTAAATCCATACATGTCTATTGCTTTCGTTATAACCTAAATTTTATCCTTTTTTTTGTACATTAATAGTTACCAAGCCATTTGTTAGGTTTGTAGGCTTTATTAAATAAATCTCGGTTAATCCTTCATCTCTTGATCTAATGGGTAAGAAAGTTTTATAAAAATATAGAGATCTTGATTTCAAGTTAAAATCTTCTCTCCTTTTACTGTTTATAAAGTTATGTCCTCCCTAAACCAAAAAAAAAAAAAAAAAAACTTGGTTAGGTAAATTCTAAGAGTTGAATAAATCCTGCATAAATTTACTAAAAATTATATATACAAAATATAAAAACTTTTTATATGACGGCTATATTTGGTTAAAAAAAAAAGAGAGGTAAAAAAGAAAAAAAATTATAATTTAATTATTAAATTATAAAATAACACATGTTATATATTATGAAACTTAACCATGCAATTAAAATTTTTTTCCTTTTTTTTTTTTTTATTAAAAGGAGTATAGAACAAAATCCCTTGGTTATAGGCATATAGCAAAACGAATTAATAGTTATAATTGTTGTTGACTTCCTTGCTATATACAAAAAGAATTGTGTACAAATTGTGATGCAAAGGCCCGAAACGGTTTAAAGAGAGAATTATGTGCAAATAATTATGATACTTTATTTCTGGTTTAAATTTTTTTGTTATGCAGCTAATGACGCAAATTGTCTGTTAGGAGCTGCTTGTTACTCTCTTCTAAGAATAATAATGTAATTAAGTATTAATTGAATATGATGTTTGATAATTTAAAATACGATACGATGATATAATATAAAAATGATATGAATAAAAAATATAAAAATAATATGATTTAAAATTTAAAAAAATCATAAATAAATTTAATAAAATTAAAAATTATATTTTATATTTTTATGTTAATACGAATTATAACACTTGATTTTTGCATAAAATACAACACGACACAAATTATCAAATTTACGTGGCATAGATTAGTTTTTGTTGTGTGAAAAAAAAAATTAATGCAATTATCTCTAGGTTAGCATTTCAATACCAATTAAAGTAGTTATTGTATTTAAAAACTGATTTTTACTCTATCAAAATTATTAAACAAAAAAATTATAATATTTTAATGTAAAAGTTTGGTTTTCGAATCTAGATAAAAAAAACTCATCGTCAATTCATCATTCACATTTCTCTTACTAGTTGTTATGTGAGATATGGCTTCAAATTAAGACTATATATTATTGCATATCAATTGCCCATTGTCTCTCCCTCAACCTTTTCTCTTCTTTGCCTACCTACGTACTGCCATCAATAGGGTTGACATCGGGTCGGATTCGAGAGGGTATTGTTCGTCTTAAACCGACCTGATTTAATGTTTTAATAAATTCGAATTTGACTCAATCTGAATTTTTTTTGTTTTTTTATATTCGAACTCGACTCAATCCCACCCGAAATTAAAAAAAAATTATTTTTTAAATATAAAATATTATTTTTTAAATATAAATATTTAAAAATATAATTATATAAATATATATATAAATAAAAAATTAAAAAATTATTTATATATATATATGGTCGGGTTTGCCTAAAACCCGACTTTGACTTTTTTTTCATGCTACCCGACCCGATTCGATACTTAATTTTCAAAAAAAAAAAATTAATCCTAAAAAATCAGATCGGACCAAAACCCATCGGATACAAGTTTTTTTACCTTCTCTAGCCATCAAATAAAAGCCAATGTCTTAATCGGACTTTTAATTCATTAATAATAGTTTATTAATTCTTCTCACTTTCCAATCATCCTTAATTAGTTTCTACGTTGTTCCTAGTTCATAAGAAATTTCAGTTTTCTCTGCGACTTATAAAACGAAACTTTATGGAGATTAAGAGTTAAATTTGTGCTTTAATCCGTCGTAATTTGATTCATAAACTATAATCAATGATGGATGAGACCATTTTTTTTTCGTTTTTTAAGAATCGTATAGTATTTAATTCTATTAAGTTACATGAATAAAATTCTTGAGTTTATTATTAAAAGGAAAAAAAAAAAAAGGGGTTCTAATGGGTTAAAATGACATAATTCGAGACCAGTACTCCAAATGATATGGCAAACAAGGCCAAGTTCAAAATTAACAGAAATAAATTGAAAATTTTTTTTAATATAAAGATTCATTAGATATAATTAATGGAAAAACTAATTTAATTGGATAATGATTTTATTTTATAAAATGATGGAAAAGCAAAAGGGAACAAACTAGTCTTAGATATCCATTGCTTTTGGAAAATATTTTAAACGAGTTGAATGAAAAATGAGAAATTGGAAAATATTATAATTTTTTTGATAGTAAATATTAAGATTTAATGAGTGAGTTATAATTTAATATATTGTTTGTATTTCAATCATTAACATTGGATTAAATTTATTTATTTATTATTTTTTATTAAAAAAAAAGATTACGTGATTTGAACCAAAGCCTGTTAAACGAAATAAATAAATAAGCTATCATATGCATTTTTTAGGTAATTATTTTTTTTTTTGAAAAATTTAGGTAATTCTTAATCGGAAGTAAAATAGACTTAATTATTTTTTTAGATAATTTCTTATATACCAATAAAAAGTTATTACTAAGAAGAGTCTCCACATTGATGGGCCACTTGTTTAAGGCTTGCATTTCTCTATAACACATGATAGGCCTTGGCTCATGGGCTTGGGTGGTATCAGGAGTCGACAACAAAACATCGATTAAACCACTGTTTGGTTATTGACAAAGAAGGAAAAAAAGAAACAAAAAAAATGGCAGGAAGATTGAGCAGCGTAGCGTCAACGATCATGGGGGGAAACGGCATCGTTTCACGCTCTGTCGCCTCCTCTCTTCGCCTCCGTTCCGGCATGGGTCTCCCTGTGGGCAAACACATCGTCCCCGACAAGCCCGTAAGCTCAATTACTTTATAGTTTTTCAGATTTATTCACCGACAATAATCGAGATAATATACCCTAAACCCTAAAAAATTAACATCTTTTTACGCTTCAGCTTCCTGTAAATGACGAGTTAATTTGGGACAATGGAACTGCATTTCCAGAACCATGTATTGATCGAATCGCAGATACTGTTGGAAAGGTAAGAGATTTATCGATTTTAAGGTCCGTTATATGTTTATCGTTGTGGGATTTTGGATTATCTAAATAAATTGAGTTTCTTTTTTTTTTCTCCCTTGTTTATTCTTATGTTTCATTTTATTTTATTTATTTCGTTTTCTCGGAATAGTACGAGGCATTGGCTTGGTTGTGTGGAGGCTTGAGCTGCTTTGCATCGTTGGGATTATTAGCTTGGTGGAATGATAAAGCGTCTAGGATTCCATTCGTAAGTTCAAAAAACTCTGACTTGATTATTTGATTTTGCCTGAGTTCAATTTAATTGTCTTTATAGTTCTTGAATTTCTTCATGTGAAATTAAGTTGTTGCTTTGATGGTGTTTTGTGGTGTGTTTCAAATTGGGGAAACGTAGGATTCTCACTGAATCAAATGCTACCATACTGTCACTCTGGTTGTCTGCTTGAAAAATTGAACATCGTGCTCAAGTGAGTGGTGATCCTAGAGTTTGTTATCTGACTCATATTAACTACCCACTTGAGAATGGAAGATATTTCTTTTTAGAGGGCACTAGCCTGTTTTCAACAATCTTTTAGGGTTGAGAGCTAGAATTTTACACAGGCTCACAATAGAAGGCCCATGTCTTTGGTTTTCCGTTGCTTTCTTCTCTTATGAACTTGGGAATGTAATAAGAAATGCCGTTTCCCTTTTTGACTTGTTGAATTGTAGGTTCGAGTCCTTGCCTTGGAGGTAAAATTGACCGTCGGCCTTCTGTAATTATATATTCATCTTATGTTCAGTTAGCAAAGTTGATAATTTGTTTTGGGGTTTGCAAGAAGCCTTTGTAGGATAGCTTCATTTCATCCCTCTACTAGAGGGAAGAAAAAGCACTTCAATGTCACCTGTGTAGATACCAAAAATGGATTGTTTGATAATTTCTATCTGTTGATATGCTAAGGGTTTAAGGAAAATCGGGAGAAAACAATAAAATATGAGCTCTCTGGAGAGGTATTTAGTATTACATTGCTCTGCTTCTGATCCATCTGGCAAACGTGGGAAACCTTTGTTTACTTGTGCAATTAGATATTTTGGTTTCATAACTTGAAATTCTGTTCTTCTTGGGAGATGATAGTGAGAAATTTAAACAATAATGTTTCACTGGCTGACTAGCTGTCTTATGCCTACATGTGGGTTAGTGATCTCTGTTTTCGAAGATTTATTATCTGTTTTATTTTGTATAGCTTTTAATTTTTTTCACTGATACATCAACCAATGTTTCATGTCGTGAGTCATTAGTAGCCTCAAAAGTATTTAGAGAGAAGCATATTTGATCTACTTTTCATGAATTTGGTATAAAATTGTTGTTGCTTGCAAGAATTTAGTTTGTTACACTCTTAAAGTTATATTACTTTCTGGTATACGTTGTTTCATTCTTCTCATACTGATTGATATTATTTCCCTACTGTTAACCAGACACCAAAAGTATATCCATATGACAACCTGCGGGTGGAGCTTGGTGGAGAACCATAGTTACATCCTTGTGCGAGAAATCGTACAGTTATTTTGGTTTCACTTATGTCCTCTTTATGTTTATTTGTTTTCTTTTGGAACTAAAAAACAGTTAAATAATGGATTGTGGGTTTGTTGCTGAAACAAATGTTTTGAACAAACAGCCCAATGTTGTTTGGTTCATAACTCATTGAAAATATTATTTAAGATGCATTGACTCTTGTCTTTTTCAGTTTGGTGCCCAATTTTGGCAGAATCAGAATAAAATGTATGATTATAGTGTTACAGAATAAAGATTATGATATTCATGACGATCATCCTGATATATGTGTGTGTGTGTATAACACACACACACACACACACACACACATATATGCTTATGTGGAACATGAAGTAGAACACTATGTTCATTTTGTGTTACAGAATGAATGGCCAAACAATCACTTAAAGCTGAACAATTTGTCCATTTTGTTTATTAGAAGGGCTTTAGACAGCTGATTTAAATTCTAATATCGATAACTCATCATTTGTGTAAATATGTCTTCTGAAGCTGTTTCCAAATAGGCAAGCAGTTTAATGTTCGGGGAGCATTGATGGTGCTCTGTTTCTGAGATTTGCCTCTGTGTGAATGTTTTTGACGGGGGTTCACCTTTCTGATTGGTTTAGATAATGTAGCTTTCGGTAACTGAGTGACTGACAGGTGCACTTGCTCTGACACTGTTGTATTATGGTGAAGAGATAGGTCTCATTTGTTATAACATGGAGTCATATTAGATGAGTAGATGGATATATGTTATTTCAGTTGTGGGTTCTTTCATGCCCCTAGTTTGGGCACTCTTACATGCCCCACCTGATTGTTGTCAACAGTTTAGAAAATCCAAACCAGCATTGATATGCGACCACGTATGTTTTCCTTTCTTTTTCTTTATTATTATATTTTTCCATTCTGCAACGGTGCTTCATTACTAGGTTTTGAGAATTCTTATACTTTATGAATTATTAAATGTGTTACATTCCATACTATTTCATTGCCCATGAATATGGTTTGACCCATTTTAATTAGAGTTTGTAGATCATATTAACTATTAATTGATATAACAACGTAGGCTTACTAAATATTGTTAGGGCTTGCAGTAAGACATTGAGAGACAAGACCAGGTGATCATTTTCAACAAAATAAACAAGAGAAAGAATGATTTGACACGCAATATAGCCCTTCCTATCGTGTCACCAGACCAAATATTGTAGCATATATAGCATGAGAAACATTGAGAAATTAGACAATATTCTTTCACTCTCTATGGATTCTGGAAGGATAAATTGTTGGTTTATTAAAATAAACAAGCTGAATGATATATACTGGTCTTTCATTTCCCTTAAAGATGCATGAAGCCAAAGAAAACACTTGAACAAAGGTACGTATTACACTCATTCCGTATCAATCCAGAAGCAAGCAACATCACAACAAGTTACCAATAATTAAACACTGATCACGTACGTAATAGAAATTTAGAACTTCAAAACCACGCAACACCAAGGAGAGAATTAGTGATTAGGAACATTGGAAGTCGGAGGGAACTTTCTCGGGGCAGACGTTGAGAAGCAAGCTTGGGGAAACTGGAATATCAAGGTTGATGCCCAAAATGTTAGCTTTGATTGCTGTGCAGAGGCAAACAGCAACCTCAAGATCAGCAAGGCCTTGGATGAGGGAACAGCATGGCTGTACGGGTGGTGTACCAATGGTGACGTTGAGCAAACCACCAAGCAGATGAGCACATGCACCTAATTTAGGGGCATCCCTAGGGCACTTGCCTTCTCCAGATGGAGATGGGGAGGGTGTGGGATTTGGTTTTGACTTGGGGGGAGGGCAGTAGCCACTAGCACTGACTAGGGAAAAGAAGAGAATGTCGAGTCCAAAAGAGAGGGCAAGTGATGCATGAGAACTTTTCGAAGCCATATCTCAAACCCTAAACCTGACCTTATCTTTCTTAGAGTACGTAGAAGTAATAGTACTAGTGTGAGGAAGGAGAATTTGAAGTGAAGGGAGGGGGCTTTATAGTGTTTCAAGAGGGCAAGTCTGTTGTTTTTGAACTTCAGCTTAAAAGAATTAATTAATAAAATAAATCAATATAATTTTTGTACATTTGAGCTGGCAGGACAGAAGGTTTTTGGTGAAGTTTGGATGTTTCTGATTGAGGGTTGGGGATTAGCAAATTGCCATGTTACCAATGAAATTTTTTTTTCTTCTAAGATTTATTGAAATCATTCACATTAAACTTGAATTCCAAGATCCCAATCGCAGTTGCTGTAAGAAACTGACTGCAACATTAACTAATGATCCCAAAATCCAACATCCAGGAATGGTTTCTAATTTGGCTCATTTAAGGGAACACAAAAGGTTTTTCCTTGAAAGGCATTGGTGATCTTGCAGATTCTGTTAAAAATTCCAGTATGGATTCTGAAGCATGACAAAGCAACATTTACTGCAACCAAACATGGTTCCTTTTGATTTTGTTAAAACTCAGTCCTTTACTTGCCTCTATAATAATCTGAGATTATTGATATTTACTGCTAACCAACCGGTTTTGTTCCTGTATTTTTTAGCTGGAATGGATTGGAGTGTCACGGGTGAGCCAAGAACCTACCTTGGGCTCCACCAGAGATTCATTTGGAACTGTGCCTTCGGTTCCATTTATATGATGGTTGGTTGTCATCACCTTGAGTCAGACCATCATTTTTTCTTTCTACTGCAGAAACTACTGATACTTAATCAAGTCAACATTATATCTTCCAACTTAAGATATGACCAAACAATTAGTTTGATGAATTCAAATTGATTGAAAGAAAAAGGAACAAAAACAAAAGCAGCTCCACCATTAACTTTTGTACATCATAGAAAGTATTCTATGAAATTCACATCCACTAGTTTCATATTCAAACTAACATGAATTAGATGTTAATGCTCCTCAAAGGAGATCCATATTTGCAATATGTGATAGTTTGATTGGTTGAGTCCCACACAAATATATAATAGCACCAGAAAACAGAAATGCCAAGGGGTGTTGTTCACGGGGACTGGATAACTGCAAGCCAACCTATCCCAGCCAAGCTATTTCACATGGCTAGTGTTAATTACCCATTTTGTCTTGCCAATTCAAGCAACACACTTCACTTCGTACTTTATAGAAACCCACATTGCATGCCATGCCCATCTCTCCATCACAAGACTAGTGGAGCTGTTCAGAGTTTCTTGAGAAGCATACGAGAACTTTTTCATCAACCATTCTTCTTCTCTTCTTCGTCCTGAACCATAAACCACATGAAACAATCCATTACTGTTCTGTGGTAGAAAAGAACAATTAAAAAGGTCAACCCTTCTTATTAGGGCCCATAATTGGGCCAAAAGAGACTTCCAATAGGACCCTTATTCAAAATCCAAATTGTACTAGTTGGCCCAAAAATAATTAGGGAACAACTTTTTGGAGGACACTAGCCCCTAACTCAAATATTGGACCATGTTTAAGGCCCATGAGTCCCTAACTGGACGAGTTTTTCATTTTTCACATCACAACAGCCAGGCAGTCAAGCCATTAGATTACTGTAGCGCTCTTCTTTTGTGACATTTTCGATTTCATAAACTTAAATGCAATGCAAAGTATAGAACAAAAATAAAGCTAAAGAATCCCATTTGTAGAACTAATTAAGCATCAAAATTCTCAACTTTATAAAATAATTTGTCTGTTACGGCTTGACCGTGAACTTTGAAGCGAAAACTAATGACTTTTTCACCTCTTTGATCTTTCATTTTCTTTCTTTTATATCCCATCACAAGCACTTTGGTGAACCTAAACTTATCCACAGGAACAAAAGCTTCTTCTAATTGTGAACTTGTTTACATGGTATCCCATTAAGAAGGCTTTGTTGCTTACAAGGAGATTGGAGACAGGTTTCTGCACGAGAGGGATAGGCAGTGAGAAATTTTGCATATTCTTTTGTCTGAATCAAGATTTATTCAAACTTTCAGTTCTTGTTTAGTAATAAAGATTAAAGTATTGTCTCGTGTCTGCCATATCCATGCACCTCGCAGGATTCTGTCAAAAAGGACACGGAATGACAGCACAAAAACCCATGGCATGGGCTGTATTCATCTCTTAAATCCGTGTCAAAATAGATTAGATTTAGAGCACAAAAAATGCATATTGTCAAAATATGTATGGCACCATTCGATGTTATTAGCATGCAGAGAATATCTGCTTCCTTTACGAGCCAGTTGGGATCCTGCCCATTTGTTGGTCGTCCCTAGCTTGGGATGCAATTAAATTTTTGATTGATCAAAGGGTCCCAGATGCTAAAAAATATCGGACAGATAAGGCCAAAATCCCTCTCTCTCTCTCTCTCCAATAATTTTGTGGAACCATAATAATTCAGGGGTTCCGTCCTTGGGTTTTAAAGCAAAGCGCTATATTCCTGCAATATTCAGCCGTAAAGGATTGGTGGGTTTAGCTGTCCTGAAAACCATACTCATGTTTATAAAGGGAAAACATTTCCATTTTCCATTGTGAAGCTAACCCCACGACGTCGCATATAACTATGAACCATTAAGGACAAACATGACATGATGGGTTCCAGTGTAAGATGCCAATTTCGACAAAGGTTCATATCATGAGAAAAATGGATATAAGTTGCGGATTGGGATAACATATGTTTCCCACAAAATATTTTTAACTATAATTAATATTTAATTATAAGAATTTGGACTGGAACTCTGGGTAAAGCTAGATACAAAAATCTGGGTCTTAGATAATATTTGCTACCAAACCAACGGTTGATATAAAGGTGAAACAAATGTATAATTGGTGGCACACAGATTTGCCCTTCATCTGGTAGATACGGCCCGTGGGAATCATGTCCTTCCGTTCTATCAATGCTCCTTCACTAAACTATACTTATGTCATCTGTTTTTGTAGGGACATCCCTCAAGCTTACACACAGGTAAAGCCAAGCCCCCGACGTACCATTTACGGGAATGATGAAAGATATTGATGAAGATCGTCCGTCCGTGTATTCATAAAAACCAAGGCTTCATGCCTGAAACCGCTAGGACCCAAGTGGAGGAAAAATCCGAATCATACCTCAGAGTTCATATCATCTTTTGTTTTTAGTTAGAAAATCATTCATCTACCTCTTTTTATACCACCTAAAGATGCACCTGAGACATTCATCTACATCCTCAACGTACAATTCGCCGCGCAACTAGTGCCCTAACTCATCTGCACATCATTTTTATTCTGTGTCTCGTCCTTTTTCTCTACTATTTCAGACTAGATTTATTGAGCCCTTGATCATTCTTTCTTTTCTTTTCATTTATTCCTGGGAAGAAAATACAAATAATTATAAAATGAAATTTTCAGCCGATAGGCTAATTCAGTTCAAGGGGCTAGAACAAATGAACTATGGAGAGATAACGTTACACGAACAATTCCCACTCTAGAGAATGTTGCAGAAATTTTTTAGGCTCACAACTATCCAGTATCTACTCAATAATAAAAGATTAAATTCTTAACTCGGGTGTCTCTAGGGACTACCATGCGACTCTTGGTCTGGGATCTATGCAAACAGCTAGAACAGCAATCAGGAATCAAAGCTACTTATGTGTTGATCTTCTTAATTTGCTCCATGGTTGTCCCGAATGTTTGCCCATCCTAAATGATAAACAAATTTAAGCATCGTCAGGTGTAAATGACAAAACCAAACTATTGTCGCAAAAAATGGTAGCATATGGATATTCAAGTAACAATTACCAAGATCATTTTTTTTTTCCCTTTTACCTTTAAGTAAAACAAGATCACTAAGAGGCTTCCACCATAGACATATGCAACACATCGGAAGCATCATAATATGGTGTCAGTTCCACTAGTATCGAATTTAATGAATTTACTCACCTAAAATTGAAGTCAGCATCGTTCAGAGGAATCAACGAGTTCTTCATCGAATTCACCAAATATATTTTGACACCCATCCCATTTCCTCTGTTCTCTTGCTTCCCAATAACCGCCCACATAGCGGAAGGATCCATTTTCATCATCTCTCTGGAACCATCTAGGCTTCCACCCATTTTCTTGTAGTTTTCTTGACTGTGCAGGACCAGAGGCAGTGTCAATATCAGCAGTAAAAGCAATAATATAAATCAGACCTACCTAGAAATAGAAATTTCTGCCAATGTCTTTAATCGAGTATAGAATCTAATAATTTGCTACTGCAGCAATATTTTCATGTCACAGTTTAGAAGACTCATTTCTCATTGCAGTAAGACTTGCTTCATGCCACAAAATCATTCAATGACCATTGCAGACATATCCAGAAGGTGGAGCATAGATACATGAAAATCAGGGCTGTAGAGACATACCATTCTCTGCCTCCTCTCCAACCGTTGTTTCTCCACATTTGCTCTATCATATTCACCATTCTCCAAATAACGTTGATCTGGTCTTAGCCTGGAATCTGTAGGTGGGAGCTTCTCCTTAATCCGTGATCAAATACCCGGGATCAGACAGAGCTATAGAAAACAATTAAATATGCATAAGAGGAAGATGAAAATGCTTACTAGAAACTGATGTAATACATCATCTCTACCTGCAGTCCTGGCATTAGCTCATTTAGTGTGATTGCAAATGAAGTTAAGTTGTAGCGAGTCAGATTAGGAGGTGGCTTGTTCCTTTTCCATAGCAAGGTGGCATTTGATGAAGGGCTGCAGTCCTTTGGCTTGCCACTCCCATCACCATTGATATGATACATGCTGTCATCCCATTTGCCAATTAATGTTGCAACCTTTTTACTCAAAAGGTCTTCAACGAACCCATGGACCTAAGTAAATGTAGGACAGGATAAACAATTACTACAGAAATAACTCTTTTAAAATATGGAAAGTAGACTACTATGGATTTGAAGCAATGAAGCCAGGATAACCCAATTGCATAGATAATCCATTTTCCGGATT